AAATCCTGGTTTCATATATTCAAAGAAAGATGGTGTTGTCAGTTGAGCAACAGACTGTTCATTCTGTTTTTGGAACCCATTTATTCAGTCATCATTACAAGACCTTTCAACAACCAGTGACAGTGACTTGCAGAAGGAAGCAACAGTTTCTCCACAAGATTTCTAAAATCTTCTTTTGCATGCATCCATTGGGCAAATTCAGACTAGAACACCACCTAAACTCACTGTATGTGATGCCATTCCTGTAGTTCCACCTGATGGCTGATTCTGCACAGGACTCTGAGAAGGTGCATGACCTGGGTACATGCGCCGACCACTATGCAAGGCACTATGTGACATCCCAGCACCAGAAGACCCACTAGGAGGTGCAGCCTGGCTGAGCGTTGGTCCTGACAAGCTTGTCAGTCCAGCACTTCCAGAACCACTAAAAGAAGGACCTGACATACTAACCTGGGGACCAGGGTATGAACCCGGCATTGGCTGCATTTGCGTGGCATTGTGTCTACCCATCGGGGGTTGGGTCATGCCTCCCATAGGAGGTGCACCTGAAGAGGTTTGAGGGGGGAAACCAGGCTGGGTCATTGGTGGCATACTGGGCATTGTTGGAGGGCCAGGAGGTCGATTTGTGGGTTGTTGCATCTGGGAACCCAAGTATGATGGCTGAGGGGCTGTTGTTGGTGTTCCACCAAATGGTACTTGCTAAGAGATCAAAGGAAATAAAGCTACATTTTAAATCCTCCCAAATGCTTGAAAGACATGAAACATGTACTTTGGGTCCAAATTATGGGTCAAGTCTTTTGTTTCAACCCTATGACTTAAACTCCAACAAAGCTTTCTCTATCTTGAATTGTTTTCTCCCAGTCTAACATAAAACTAACCCAAAAATGAGTACTAGTGGTTATGACTTTCATGTTCTGGAAACTCTGAGCAAACAGACAAAAACCATAAAGTTAAGTGGTAAAGGGAAAACCAGAGTCCGCCGATAGTGCTGAATGATAATAATTTGGGCAAGTCAACTATACTAAAGGTCACATTATGTCGGTTCATTCAAGAGACTGTCAATGCAGCTGTCTTTCAGACAAAAGAATGTCTAGTCTTCATACTTACCGTGGTACTTGGCTGGGGAGGCCAGCTTCCTAAGTTTGCTTGTTGAGATGATGATGGTTGACTTTGGGAACTAGTGATATTCAAGTTGCTCATCTGCTGAGTCATCTAAAAAAAAAATCTAACATGTAACAGATGCCATTAAGCCTCTACTCTCTAACATCAGTACAAACATTCTCCATCCTACTCCCTAGACATCTCCAAGGGTTCTGACAAGCAGAACTTATTCAACAATGAAGAGCTACTTTAGTTGGTGATCATCTTCTTTATTCTCATGACGTTAAGGATTGATTCAGGGGTGATGTTAAAAGGAGAAATTAGATGTTAGTCACTCTTAGGGGTTAAGGGTTAAATCTTGACAACTCCAGTTCTTCAAATGACACCAACAGCATTTTTTTGTTCTTTATCATTTGTTAGCCAAATGCATGCTTTTTGCACTTGGCCACAATTAAAGGGACAAAGTGTCCTTGACATGACTGTTAACAAGATAAGCAAAGATAAATTGAGATTTAAAACAGTTGATCTGTGATTGGGAACCACACCTGTTGATGCTGATGTCCAGAAGTATGTCCTTGTGGCAGAGGTGGATACCGCTGAGCTGGATTTCCTCCACCTGGCCTTGGTGGCTGTTGCCCTTGAGTGGGTGCCATTGGTCTTAAAGGCTGAGGGGGCATTCCAGGTCTCTGAGGCTGTTGATAAGGAGAGGGACCCCCTGGTTGTGATGGTGTCTGCTGGTATGGGAAGCCTCCAGGTCTCTGTGGCTGCTGCTGTTGTGGGGGTAAACCAGGTCTTGACTGTGGTTGTTGTTGCTGAGATAACTCTCCAGGCTTAGGGGGCTGTTGATGCTGTGAAACAGGAGGGAACTGTTGCTTCTGTTGATCAGGAGGGGTAGGTGAGGAATTAATTGGCTGGTGAGGAGAGGGTGAAAGTCGCTGACTTGGTTGTTGCATAAGGGAACCTTGAAACTGGTCACCAGCCTAAATATTAAAAGGTATTGAAAAGAGAGTTAACAAGGATATCAACATATATAGATAAAGCTGCAGTGAGCTCTTTCTCATAGGGAATTAACCCTTTAACTCCCAAGAGTGATTTAAAAGTAACTTCTCTCTTAAACATTTATACATTATTTAGCAAACAGGTAATGAGAACACTTAAACTTATCGGGTAGAAGTTCTAATCTCATTTACAAGAAAGTGTGTAGCAGCTAGAGAGGAGAATTAATAATCAGATCCTAGGAGTTAAAGGGCAAAACCACTGAAGGACTAAAATTTTACACCAGTCTGAAGTTTTACCATGTTGTATTTGAAACTTTTCTCTGCTTAATGAATGAAAAAAGTAGACTTTTTAAATAAGTATTAACGGGGCTGATTTAGTTGGCCCAGATGCCCTTTGTGATCAAAGCCAACCAGAGCATGTCAGCCTTGTGCACTGAGATTTCAGTGAAAATTAGATTCAATAAAAGACAGCTTTGAAGTTTCATGATAAATAGCCAAGGCCAGTCATTTAAAATTATGGTTTTATCATATAAGCATATTGGCAAACTAAGCTGAGAATTGTTTTAGACAAAACTTAGTGTTTAAGTGTGTCAAAAGTGGATGCAAATCAGGATTTCCTGAATAAGATAATATGAGAAAAAATGATGAAAATAAAAATAATAAGCCAAATACAAGTGTTCAGTCACAGGAAACAAAGAAGTTTGTTTGATTACTGCCATCAATTATCAAACTGTGCATACTATTCATCATTAATTTCAGACAGGAAATATCAATTAATTTGTATTATTTGAAATCTGTATTAGATGTATCACGTCAAGCTGCATCGTGTATCATTTGGTATTTTAGTTTTTATAAACAAAAAAAATGTTCAACATTAGAGACTGTTACAATATTGTCTTAATAAATTCACAGTTTCCAGTTTATGTAAATTCGAGAAATGTAATGGAATGAAGTATGCTCATATCCCATGAAATGTAACAAATAAAATTTGGCGAGGAAAACCTTGAGAAAATTTCGACCAAAGGAAAAGGACACTATTAAAATCAACCGAGATTGGACACAAGCTTCACCATGAAGGGAACATTGGCAATTTGATCACGTTAGTTTTCTGAGAAACATGTGAGTGACAGTTCGCAGACTGAAGTTTTTCAAATGTTGTTGATAAGTACGTGTACACACGCGACCTACAGCCGGCTTCACTGGAAACGAAATATGAAGGGCAAGTTTCCGCGCTGAACTTCAAAGGTGTCGTAATGGCTCAAAACTTTTATACCATTACCTTAGGAGAAAGTGGCTGCTTTGGTTGTTGATAATAACCGGGATGATATCGATTGGGATCCTGTTGGGAACTCACACCATTCATCTGGACTTGTTGAGGGCCATTCGCCATTGCGTTAGATGGACCTTGATGAGGAGGAAAACTGCCTGCATTTGCCATAAAATTATCTCCCACACCCTTTGCTGGCCCATCGAATGGCATATTCCTGTGTTTATAGCAAACAGCAATAAGCGATCGGATTTTCACAAAAATATTTTTTGAAGTCTCAAACATTCGTCGATTCATACCTTTGACCTGTCATAGGAGGACGTTGATTCATCATTTCTTACGCGCCGTATAAAACGTTTTACGCAGATATGACTTCACCAAATTAAAGGAATAGCCTCTTGGAGGCAGTACAAGTACTAAATTTTACAATTAAGTGCACAAACTTTTTTTCACAAGGCGAAACGTTCCACTAGTTTCGCATCTCAGTACAAGACATTATATGCCACGTAGAAAAGTAGATACCCTGTTTCCAACTTCCCGGATGACCAGCCGGCGCATTGTCATATGGGTATTTTCATGTAGCGCCAACTCAAATTTCTTACGTGGCTTTTGGAACGCCAACGTAAAGTTACAATGCGATAAATAAACCGGAATAAACGCATACCTAAGAGTTTTGATCTCCTCGATTTTTTCTTACAACGTTCATTTTCCCTTCGATAATAGATTCGCTTGTCGCCACGAAAATGAAAATGAAATTGATAGAGAAGAATGACAGTAAAAAATTGTGAGTTCTATTTAATATATTTTTAAAGACTTGAACAAAATTAGAACTTCTCGCCGTTTCAAGTTTTATGGACGAGAAAAAGTAACATATACGTTTACAGAGCTTTAGAATCGTAAAATTGAAAATTGAAAATTTAATTTTTAGAGGCGCCCGCATTATTTTTTTGCGTGACACAAAAAAAAAAACGTGAAAAGGCCTGTCCGTGTGAAGAAGTTCGTTCAGTGCGTCTGAATAGACCTTGCCCATGTTACAATAAATTGCATTTCTTTTAAATTTTATTTCAACATGCATGTCGACATCTGCTTTTATTTCGAACTTTTCTGAAGGACTGCTTCATCAAAATGTATCATGTCATACAGGAAGAAGATGAGAGAATGTTTCTTTGCTTAGATCTAATTTCGACTGATTGGTTATAAGGAGAGCCCCGCGATATGGGAGACGGATCTGCATTAATATCACACATAGTTCAAGGAAAGAACATACGCACCAGCGTGCTAGTGAACTCAAGGCTAAATCTCTGCCTTATCTCTTCAAGAAATCCTTTTCTGTCCCCGTTCTAAATTACTTGGATCGATTCTAATTTTGTGTGTTCTAAAAATTCAAACGACAACAAATAGCTAGATATAGCCACCCTTTACTCCTTTATGAACCAGCACAAGGCTCTTTTATTTTATGTTCCAACCTCTGGTATAAAAGATCGATTCTTTAGTCATTGAGATACTTTTTCTTCCTTCTGAAGCCACGAGTCGATCACTAGCTCCAATACTTAACCCACCAAAGAACTTTAACAAAACACACGCGAAGTACCCACACATTACCAGCTAATGTCAAGGCTTTTCTGTTTATCGGGTGCCCCGCCTAAAGGCAGGGCGACGAAAAATTGAATTAGAGACTCATTCGAGTGTTCTCCTCCACGGAAATCTTTAGTAAAAGGCGAAAGATTTTGGCGTATTGAAGGAAAACCAGAGTTACCATGACAAAGTTGAGATGACTATATGAATGACCGGGCAGACTCAAGGCATGTGGGACAAATAAAGTGGAAATAAAGCACGCAAGTCAAAAGATTCGTTTTCGAATGAGAAGTTTTGCAACGGCTCCAATAGTTTTCGAGGTTTTGCTTTTTTAATCACCATTCGAAAATTTATCATCATCTGCGATTGATACGTTTCTTAATTGTCTTCAATGCTACAATAACCGTCGATTGAAACTCTAGAGAGGACATGCACTTGTGCCTTTGACATGCGCAATAACAACTGTCTTTACCTGATAGAAAGGCTCTTTTACAAGGAGACTAAGGCGAAAGCAAGGCTTGTCATGTGACTCCAGCTCCGTTTCTTTTCTTTGAAAATTGTGGTTATCACTTTCACGTCGTGCATGGTGAGCGAAAAGGAAGAGTTGTATGAGATTCGAATTTGATGCTGTCGGAAGTTTTATTAGATTGAGGTCGACTTGCTTCAACAAACTTGCTGCTGTTTACGACATGTCATCATCTGATACAAAAGTTTATGACAATCGTTACGAAAAAGGTTTGTAACAAACTTTTCGAGGTTGTTATCTGCACAAGGCTTTGTCCAGCGTGATAACCTTTATACTCCGAAAAATAACCCGTAGAAATGTTTGATCCACTTCTATCATTAATCCTGTAAACCAGCCGGGTTAAGAGTGATTCTCAGAAATTTGAAACTATTTCATCAGAATGTCAAGTGTTAGGAGCTGCCAGTAAGTCTACGATATTTAGAATCATGTCATATAACCAAGAGGCATCGACCACACAATCCTGCTTTCCCATGACTTCTGTTTTCTTCATTATTGCCCTGCTGAGCTCTTAGCAGGACTGCAAAAATTACGAAGCTCAATTTTTGAGCTTGATGGATTACTACTAGAAGCATGTGCAATCGCACATGCTTCCATTTAAGCTAATTACATTACTTAGATTTAGCCAAGACAACCCACTGTGTTGACGAGACAAAATATATACTCTCTTCAAGCATTAGGGTTGTGGGATAATTAATAATTCACATCTTTAAATCTATGTGTACGCGTGCGTATAAGAAACTCATATACTCCTCAGTAAAGGAAATTCAGGAAAATCGAAGTACACACTTTTTTCTTTGAGGGAGAACTGACCCAATTCACTGCTACGAGTATGATGACAGAATCGCCGTATACTGCGCACATGGGCTACTGCTAATAATCTTTTGTCTTAATATTGCACATGCGCCCAAGAGACCCAGGTCGACTCCTCTTTAATTTCTAACGTTCCACGAATTTGCCATATACGTGTAGCTTGGAAAGGAAAAATGCAACTACAGAAGTTTAGGTCCTAAAGACCTACTGGATAAGGAATTGATGAAAAAGTTACCACTACAGTCTCTAGACACAAGAAACCAGATCACTTGGATTCACACAAGGCACTTTATTTGTTTATTTATTTATGTGGGTGAGATGCAAGTATCACTTTTAATCTTTGCAAAACGAACCTTCCATTAACCAGTATCGAAATACAATAAAGGCAGATAATATTGAAATTTAAGTATCTACTGCAACGACCCTAGTCAACAATTTGCAAAGTGAAATACTGTATGAGAATACCATCTTCTAACCAAGTGAATATTCGTAATGCAGAGTACCTTCCAGTACTCTTCACCTAGCCTTTCTTTCACAGTCTTTCTTATTGCTGCCTCTCTCATGCCACCAGGCATTGCACCGCTTTCAAGGGAGCCTGGCCATTCACCTCAAACACATAAAAACAAGGAAAGACAGTGAAGAGGAAACACACTCTACAACCCTGCTTTGAGAAGGAAGTTGGCCATAAAATTTAATAAAATAGAAAAGGAAGAAAAACTTTACAAGTCCATGTATAGCCACGAGGTCAGCCACCAATTTTTTTGTACAGTTGAGCCTGGTTAATGGGATGGCAAAATTATCTCTGCTGATAAAATTTTAATGTCTCACTAAAATAGCAAATCTTTTGAGCAGTTTTCCTAGATGGAAATTTCTGACATTTGCCTAGTCTGAAATGAATAAAAGTGGTGCATCCCAAAATATTGAAAGAACTCAATGAAAAATACAAATCAAATAAGCAGGTATTTTAAGATCATCTTTGGGAGAAATCTTTGAATCCTTTCTTCACACAATAAACGTCCAAAAGGTAAGTGGACAAGGAGATATCTCTGAATTGGAGCAGAAAATACATTTATTGTAGCTTATTGTAAGAAATTTAACCATCAAAGTTCTAATTTGATGGTCCCTGTTGTTGCTGTTGCTGCTACTGTCCTTTTGAGATTAATCTTTAACTTACAAGAGTACAAATAAGCTAATACAAGGTGAAATTTCATTTTTCAATCACAAAATAAACAGAATTCAAGAGAGAGAAAAACTTCCATTCTTAGGCTGGATATTAAGTACAGTGGTAATTTTATGGGATGGTTGATACAGTGCAGAATGGCTTGTTTAAAACAGGAGAGTTCCCATGCCTCCCATTTCGCTTTGCTCTTTAACGAAGATTTCAAAGTATTGGTAAATGATGGTGACAGCCAACAGAATACCTGTTCCTGAGCCAATGGCACCTATGAAGAAACAAACAGAAATGTTACATGCGTAAGAATTCATTTAATTTTGGCTCCTGTTCATATCACCTTGATCTACTTGATCTATCACCTTGATCTATCATCTTCCTCTTAATTCCATTCTTTACACCTCACTTTAGCAAGGAGCAGGGGCTTTTTTTTTTTCTCAAACAGTTGCAGCTTATCAAGACTACTGATCATATAATGACAAAAAATCCTAAGAGCAGCTTGTGAAAATTTTTGAAAAAGTGCCCAAATCTTTTTTAAAAGCAGTCATTGACTTGACAGACAAGCAAAGCTCTGTGCTTTCCCCCCGGCTTCCAATCCATTTTTTGAGAAACAAACAGATTCTTAGAAAGTTTGTTTCCTTTTTTGACAAAGGTCAGCCATTCACAACTTGGGAAATAGGACTACTGTACATTTAGTTACAACTGAACTTAGCCCCTTCTCCTTTTCAAGTTTTGCTGAAGTCCATGAAGTGAAGCATCATGAAATCAGAGGGTCAGTGACTCAAATCCTTATACGAGATTCAGAGGTGTTTACTTATGCCACAATCATGGCACTGAAATGCTGAATATCTTTCTTGAGTTTTTCAAGCTGTTTAGTACATGAAAACTCAATGCTTACCCATGAAATCAGCCAAGACTGAAAGGGCACCAATACAAAGTCCACCAAAAGCTGCAGCTGTAGGGATATACCTGGAAGGTAAGAGATCCATTTAAAATGCCATTTAATTTTTTATTTCAAAATTATAGTACTATGTAAGAAACTATTTATTGAATTAAATTATCCATACATTACATATTGGTAACATATCTTCCACATGGACAAGGAATATATGAAAGCTTTGTAAAAGCCAATTCTAAACTTTATGATCATTGCTTACCTGTTGAGTTCATGGACCATGGATTTATCGCGGTGTCCACGCATCACCATTTGCTGTTCCTTCAGCTGTTTGGCAACCTTGGTTTGGGGATAAAAGTTAAAATATCCATCAATTGATTGACTTAAATACAGCGATCCAAGTTGCAACCATTTCGGTCACCATGGCGAGTGAAAAATATGATTGGTGACTAAAATTTTGACCAGAGTCACCATATTGGTGATCAACAGATTTAAAAAAGGAAAAAAAAACACTTGTACATTGTCTCTGCATACAGACATTAGAGCCTCATTATCTTTTGACCCTTATTGCAGTCTTTACATCCACAAGCAAATAAACATATCAATTTGGCAAACAAAAGTGTTGCAAACTTATTGTTTGTCTTACTAAATACATAATTTTTAGGGCAACCATTTTGTAATTGAAGGTGACCAAGAGGCCACTTTTTTAAAAGATGAACTTAAAGCCCAGTATTATTAAGATCTTAGAGTCAATACTGCCGACCAATGACCACACAATCCTCAACTTACTTTTGACACAATTTGCCAAATTTTTGTCAATTTTGAGACATCCATTGTACATGTGTCTTCTAAAGTCACAAATAAAAAGTTTAAATACCCAAAAGTTCTAACAAGTTTCTATTGTTAGTTAAGGAAAACTATGAACATTGGGAATTTAGATAGCATACAAGTTGTACTTTGAAAATTTTTTGTCTGTTGAAATTAGAGTTTCTGTAAAATTAATGACCTGAACACTTGAAGTAACAGTTCATTTAATCTGCTGCTCCATCATTTTTAAGTAACACTTACATCTTTAGCTGAGGAGCCAGACACATCAATCCATGTCTTGGAGAAGAAAGCACAAGAGCCCAACATGAACACGATGTACAAGACGGCATGAATGGGATCTTCTATGATGTGACTCACTGTCTCTGGAGGTGACATGTAATAGCACAGGCCACCAGTGGGGTATGATCGCGCAGGTCCACCACCAGCTTCCTGGAATCAAAAGACCACCATTACATTAGGGAGCCCCATCACACAAATGTATTCCCAAATCTTAAACTAACCAAATTGTCATAAAGTCAACGTAAAGATGGTAGCATACCTCCCATGTTCCAAGAAGACTGACGAAGAAATTTCCAGCAAACTTAGTGGACAACATTTGGGAAATGACATAAATATTGGACACGAGGGCACTCTGAAATATTGACAAAACAGCAAGTGATGAGAATTGAATGACATGCTTTGCACAACAAAATCAAATTGTTGTATTGATCATTAAAATTTAGCAAATGCCTCTAACTCTGAACTCTAGAGTAGTATATAAATAAAGGCCCAAAGCCTAACTAATTTTGTAAAGTCGCTATTTAGAGAATAATGTTAAATATTTGACTTAAGCAAATATCAATTAGGGATACACCTAACAAAGAGCATGATGGTCTAGGTAGTGACTTTCAAACAAGAGTAATAATGAAAACAATCAACTCACTGAAAGCATTTTAACCAGTTCCTAAATTTAAGCACAGAATGAAAGTTTCATGGTTACTCTTACCTGCAAAATGATGGGAATATTTGAAGTGTAAAACAGTTTGATTGGGTAAGAGCTGTATTGGCCTCTGTAGCGAGCAGACTTGATGGGAAGATCTACACGGAAGCCCTGCAAGATATTTCCACATTCTGTCAGACATACCGATATACCATGCAAAGAGGCAGGTCAGAAACTAACTTACTTACTTTAAGTTAAACTTATGATTACCAGTTGGGAGGAAAGAGCTTACATCACACCTATAATATCATGATACTTGTAAAGAATCTGAATGAAAATTAAAGTTATGCTATATTTCAATACAAAAACAAACAACACACTGTCCCACACCTTGAGGAGCTACTAACAATCACATTTCAAGGAGGAAAAAACCACCCCATAAGAAAGGTTCTAAATCAAGGAAATGTTGAAGTAGTAAGAATATTATTGACTGAAAGGTGGCAATTTACCTGGAAGTAAATAACTATACCAAAGACAAAAATTGTGGCAATCAGGTTAGTGATGTTTGGTAGGTTCTGACGATGGACAGCTTCACGGAGCCCACGCACTTTGTCTGTTCTGGTGGCCAACAGATGGAACAAGGCAATGATAGCACCCTCAAACTCAGTACCTAAAATCAACAACAGAAAATACTGTAAAAACACATTGTGACTTGTGGCGATGAAATGCAATAATTTTGAGGTATTACTATCTGTCTCACAATGTAGTCATTTTTAGTGCAAATTATCATCTATAATGCAAAACTGCATAGTGCTTCATAGGATGACCAGTTTAAAGCAAGGAAAAAACTGAAAATAAATTTTTAAGCTGACATCTAAAGTGTTGTTTCTACAAACACGTTCAATCCTTGCGAGTCTCTATTTTGTAACCTGTTTAAGATGGGGATATAGGAGTTGTACATACCCCTGCCAGTGTTAATAGTGGCTGGACTGAATGCTTTCCAAACAATAGTCTCACAGATGTTTGTGGCAATGAACAGTGAGATTCTGCAAGGGAGATTATGATGAGATTTAGCCAAGGTAAAATAATTGCAGTGAAAATAAATCAAAGAGCACACCATTGGATAACTAGCATGTTTTCAAACCTTGTTGCAAAGAGGAAAGCTCTGCAAAAGCTCTGAGGAGTCTTAACATGACATATACTTGTGTGGCAGAGTGGAAATCAATTCAGGTAATGAAAATTCCCAAGAACACCATAAGTAATACTGGTACCCTTAACCATTTCACCCCCAAGATCTGATTAATAATTCTCCTTACTATCTGCCATACAATTCTTATGATGTTAGTTCAGAGAATTTGGTATTAGATCAACTAATAATCCCATGATTGATATTCTTCTCTATTCTCATCACCTGCCTGCTTGATATTGTATTGATATTGTACGGAGAAATTCTGTCTTGGTCACTTGTGAGAGTGAAAGGGTTAACTATTTGATTTCTATGAGTGACTAGCATTTCATTTCTCCTAACAATACCACCCCTGAATCGCACATCTAGGTCATGAGAAAGAAGGAAATGATCACCAATTACAGAAACTCTTTACAGTTCAACAACTTTTCCTTATCAGCACCTCAGGAAATGTGTAACGAACTGTAAGGAGAATATGTATACTGATGCAGGGGTGTAAAGGGTTAAGAGCTTTCTTTCCTGGATCTAAGATAAAATCTCCCAACTCACAAGTATACTTTTTTTTAATAGCTTCTATTTATCTAGTGCTGTATCAAGAAACAGCCCATGCATCTAAAGGATAAGCTGGAGATATGTACAAGCCCTCATTCATCTTCCATCAAAAGAGATTAACTCAATTTGAGCTGCCTACCCTGATCCAAGGCCATATCCTTTCTGAAGAAGTTCATCCAGCAAGAGAACAATAAGACCAGCACAGAACAGCTACAAAGATGAAAAAAATCGGTAATCAGCATCTACAATCAACAATCAAATAGTCCACTGATAGCCTTTGAGATTGCATTACTTCAGAATACCAACAATTTCATATCTACAACTCTTACTCCCCTCTCTCAAGTAACAGTACTGCATAACACTTACTGAGAGAAGTTTCATTGTAGAAAACCTATGTTCGTTTAGTGTCAAGGAACATCAAGTGAATGTCATTCATCAATAAAGTTTGGCATGACACGTGGCATATCAAGTGTCACTTTGGACATTATGGCTTTTAAATGCAAGTTCAGTTTCACTTGCAATATTAACCCCAAGGGTATGACATACATGTATATCACTGCCAAAACGTTAACACAATTCTACACTCTGAGTCATCAGAGATGAAGATATCCATTTAAAGCATACCTGGATGATAATCAGAAGGCAGATACCAGGGCCAAGATCAGAAGGATCACCATACATTCCAGTCATAACATACACAACAGCTTGGCCAATGGTAATGATCATACCAAACACTAGAGAAAGAAAAGATTTGATTAAAAAGAGAAAAGGTATAAGGTATGTGATGTGCCTTTCTCAGTTACTTACACTTTTGAGATCCATTGAAGAGAGCTCTGTCTTTTGGACTGTCACCAACTTCAATAATTTTAGAACCTGCCAAAAGCTAAAAGAATGTATCAAGTTAGAACTGAGTATAATTTTTAACTAAAAGAAAAGGTGTTAATAGCTTCTTACAAATGCAAGAATTGTTTCAAGGATAATAATTATATCTCAATGAACTCAGCAATATGTAATCATGCTTCTTCACATGGACTTAGGTCTACAGTTTAGTGGTATAGTTAAGTTATTGTCCTTGGTTTCAACGCCTTCTTTAATTTCTGTTTCATAGATACTATCATACTTCCTGATCATCAAGATACCCAGAAAAAATCTGAATCAGAATTACAACTGAGGAACAGAATAAACAACCAAGACCTCATTAGTAATTCTCCTTGATGTGTTACAAACAATTCCTATGATGTATGTTGGGAGAATTTGGTATTGGCTCAACTAATCCTCTAATAAATATTTATCTTTATTCTCATCACTTTTCTGTGTGATATTGTATTGACATTGGCAGTAGAAATTCTGTCTTGGTCACTCATGAATTGTAAAGAATGAAACTGAAAATGCTTATCACTCAAAAGTTGCAAGACACTGCTATAACAAAAAAGCTTATAACAATTTGTTCCTAATAAGTAAGAACAAAACTTAATTCATAGTTATCAAGTTATCCAAACCTGCATAATAAGTCCTGAAGTGACAATTGGGGATATACCAAGTTCCATGAGGGTACCTAAATGAAAAAAAGAAGTCATTATTTATTTCAACAAAACCAATTGTAGTTATACAGAAAGAGTTTGAACCTGAGGGTAACATGTGCTAAGTAGTCTGATTGTCCAGGTGAGTGTACTCCTGAGAAGGACTGTTGTCTCAAGTGGTGACTGATTTTTTGACAACCTGAGTCATCACCAGACTTACAACATTATTCAATTGACTCTGATGGTGACTTTTCAGGTTGTTGAACCACCAGCGACAATGGCCTTTCTCAGGACTACACTCACCTGAAAGATCAGACTACAAAATCACAGGAGTAGTAAGAAAATAAAAAATGTTTCTGAACAAAATGAATGGAAACATTTGTTCTGCATCTTTTATTCCTTCTTCTTTTCTCTCTCAGATTTAATAATATCTTAGCACCTCACAAAGGCAGAGCTCAAGCCAGTTTGGCAAGATTTCAGCACAGCCCTATATTTCGTTACGCTAACAGTTCTTAGATAAAGAAAGCAACAGTGGACACAGTTAATTGCCTTAGGGAATACAGCTTTGGTTTAAGATAGTACAGGGTTGTATGAAAATCTTTCTACCAGTTTGACTGATAATTACAATTAATCCAAGATTAATAATTATAAAAATGTCTTATCCCTTGTCCTTGTGAAGGACATCTCTATCTAAGATATTAAACCTAATAAGCTCTAATTTGTACCGGTCCAAACATCCACTATATATCCCATGGAGGGATGCAGTACCAAACAAGAAATAAATCAAACAACTTCTTGGACCATTACAAAATATTCAGATGCATACTGAAAAATTCCAATAAATGAAACAACAAAAAAGTAAGTTAAAATCCAACAAGTATCTAAAGCAAAATCACGATTTTGAGAATTTAGTGGCAGTTAGAACTTTAGAGCTCCAAACACAAAGGAAAAAATTCGTAAATTAAACAGCATTCAAATTCTCTGAATTTGCAATCCTTAAAAGCACGTTGAAGAGGGAAATTTTTTTCTGTAGGAGGTTACATTTTCATTCAAAAAGGAACGAACCATAGTCGATCAGGAAGATTGTATTCTTCGATATTCTTATCAAGTTTAAGAGCATAACATTATTTTACGGTCATTTTTAACAGTTATTTAACTTAAACCTTTTGTACCCGTAGAAGAATACTGTAATCACACAGTTATTTGACCTATTTATATCAAAATTGGACCGGTAAACAGTTATTTGACCTACTGTATTTATATCAAAATTGGACCGGTAAAAGAAATCAGTTACCTCTGTTCGAAGCTAAAATCACTCGCATCCAGTAGAAGGGATCAGCTGAATCCGACGACATAATGCCAAACAAAGGAATCTACGTAAAGAGAAAGAGTAAGATTAAACCTCTTATTTGATCGATCACAAGAGAATCACAGAGATGATAGCTCTTTACTATTAGCCTTTTGTAAAATGGCGGTTGCAACAAAGGGCCAGTCATGAAGAATATCAATTATTCTTAACTTCCTATCTATAACATATGATTTTACCAACCTGGCAGCAGACAAGAAAGATAAACAGCGTAATCGCCGTCCATAGTACTTTCTCTCTAAACTGGATCTGTAAGAAACAGAAGGTGGATTGATTGAAAAATCTCGAGTAACAGTATCCAAAGAAGGCAACCACACGCGGATGTACACGTACACCAAACGGACATAACCAAACATTAATTCACTTCCAAGTTGCCTTCAACAAAAGACACTCAATTTAACAATAAATACGAAGAAGAAACTAACTGACCGCTTACAGGGAGATCTTGACGAAAGACTTACCTTTCTTTCGGGCTTTGAGACCTCAGGCAGAACGGAAATAAATGGTCGTAGTACTTCGAGAAATTTTACTGTGCACGAGAAAAAGATCACACATTATCTCGCGGCCAAAACGGGCAGATTGCTTACAAATGACAACAAAAATTAAATCAAGAATATTTAGGACACTTACCACCCATTTTTATAATTTTTTTTCTGGCCAAAAGATTGGCGGCCTCGATGGAATGAAATAAGAAATTCAACTGTGGTCAGACAATGGCCACAGCTAGTGAAGAAGAGGACGAAACACGCAATGCGCAAGCTTTTACGTCATTAGTTCCCAGGCTCTTTGGAGACCGGAACACAAAATGTGCCAGCTCAGACAGGAACTGTAAGCCGTACTAGTATAGTTGTTGGTGTCCCGAGTGGGTTAGGGGACCCTCAGCGGACATTTCTCGAAGTTCTCCAAATAATGTTGATAGTAATATTAGTGTAAGCAAAACTAGTAACAATAGTAATAGTAAAAACATTAATGATAATAGTAGTGAAAATATGGTGATTGATAGCGTCGGTATTGAAGCTTCTTCTTCGTCGTCTGCCGACGTCGAGGACTCCTTGGACGGTTTCATTACAGCCACCAGGAAAAACCTCCGACCAAAACAAGCCTCTTCGAGGTCAGTGGTTCCCACGGCTGCGATCATTGCCGTTGAGTTAAAGAAACGTTCTACTCCACTCCTCCTCTTTGCGGTTCCAAAGAGACAGCAATCCGAGTGTTGTCATAGATGGTAATCGTGGTGCTTACTGCTCTCATCTTCCGTCCTTTCAAGCTGTTACAATTGTTTTGTAATAATGCTTGTTTTATTAGTGTTTTGTTTTTGCGTTAGCAGTAGCAGGGAGTGTGTACGTTTAATTTTTGGTGTGGTTGTGGCTAATTTTTAGGAGGTGGGGTTCGATTCCCCAACGAAGTTGGTGTCTGGTGACCCTCACTGCACTTATAGAGTTTGTATAGTTGCTTGGAAAATGCTCCGATAATTTTGATATCATTCTGCATACGAACATGTTCCTATATCAGAACGAGTAGTTTTATCGCCTGCTCTTTTGTTTCATCTAAAAAAACTAATGCCAGTGATAGTTTGTCATGAGCCAAAAACAACACCAATATATTGTGATTTTGTTAATAACTGTAGACTTCACTGAGAGCAACTGAATGAGTTTCTTTCCTTTTTGTAACTATTCCTGGAGTCACTATCTAAGGAACTACCTGATGAAGTGTCTTGATAGTATTCGTGAGTATTCCTCCCAAGGAAAATTATTTGGAGCACCATGCACTATGTAAGCGAGGGAAATGTATTAAGAGTCTACTCAGAAATCAGCTACATCGTATAAGAAATTTTCACAAGATAAGTCATAGTTCGCCTTCATTTTCGATACAATATTGTCATCGGTTGATGCGCATGCGCATGCCCATAGGCAAAAGACCAAGAAGAAGAAAGGATCTGGGTTCGAGATTGTTCCCACTTGCGTTAGCGTACCGTTTTCGACCTACCGCTGTCACATCTTCGTTATCAGTAGCTCTGGTTTTCCTTCATAACGTACAAATCTTTCGCCTTTTACTAAAGATTTCCGTGGAGGAGAACAATTGATTGAGTCTATGAACTAATTTTTCATCGTCCTGCCTTTCGGCGGGGCCATCTTAAGAAGCGGAACAAGTATCACTTCCTTGCACCATCTCTTTTTCGGTTTCTCTTCAGAGCAACTCCTGTGCGTACCTTTGGTCTTCTCCTATCTCCTTCTTGTCTGTAAATACTTTATGTGGGATCAGCGTAACGATTTCCGTCTCTGCGGTGTAAGCCCAAGTGCCTCTTGCTTGCATCCAATCTCGAACTCGTTTCTATCTTCCCTTGTTGGCAAAGTGTTTCACTGCTTTTACTAAAGATTTCCGTGGAGGAGAGAGTTTATGAGCCTAAAGACCAATTTTTCGTAGCCCTGCCTGGTGGCGAGGCGTCTAATCGAAGTTTCATGATTTTGCCTCACCCAAAAGTTAGATAATTGTTGACATTATGTTAGCACCGCGTGGAACTCTGGGATTAATGACTTCTGCGCAGTTCGCTAACATCAATTATTTTATTTTTTGCTGAGTTTTTTAATCGCGCGACGGACCAAGCCGAAAATGAAGAATTGCTCGCATTCTAATTCCGACCTCTTTTACACCCGTTCCGCACCCACGATTACCAGTCAACCATCTGGAAACTCCTTGCTGTAATAGTACAAATTGTTGGTATAGAGAAATTTTAAATACTGGGTTAGGGGGAAGGGTGAGGAAGTTTGTCTGCAGCACTGAGAGTGCAATTCATTGTTTCCGGTCAGCATAAAGGAAATGAATCATACAAAGAACTGGCAGAAGCCACATAAACGAGGAATATTCGCATGTCCTAATGGTGGACAGGTTAGTCTGCGGCGTCTTGTTAAACATAACAATTCGGACACTTCTCGAAGAACCTATCGAGTGTGTGGATTGGGACAATGTTACTCGCCGGCTATCACACATTTTTACCTCTGTGGATACATTTATTATGCATAAATTATTTTACTTTACGCTCACTTATCGCCGAACACGGCATGTATCGAACTTCATTTATTAGAATAATCAACAAAGACGTGTAATGTTTGCTGCTGACAGGCGCTGATACTCTTTTTCTTTTGTCTGAACCCCACTTTTTTTTGGTGTGCTTGCCTTGCACAGACTACAATTTCATCTGTAAAATGCCAAAACAACCATAACCATATTTGGAACAAGAGAAATACTCTAAACCAGGGTAACCAAGATTTTTCCGGGGGCTTTCGACTGCTTTAGGACGATGATGTGCATGCGCACTCCATAAATTGTTGTGACTTTCTTTGTGACCGGTGTCCCATATGCCTTTGTGCGTTGCTTTCAATCTAGTGCCAGAATTCTCCATTTTTACGTTCGCTCTGGTTCTCCTTCAAAATGCGTATTAATCTTTCGCCTTTTACTAAAGATTACCGTGGAGGAGAGCAACTGAATGAGTCTTACAACTAATTTTTCGCTGCCCTGCCTTTCGGCGGGGCTATCAACTGGAAAAATAATATGAAATGATTAGAAAGGCAAAACCAAGGGAAGGTTTAGATAGGTGTTTTCCCTATGATGTAATACGTACAGGCATACGTACATGTACAGGCATGTTCCAATTGCTTTAGCTCAAATATGTTAAGCTGACTGGTACTTTCGTTTTTCCACAGAAGATTTCCGTCGAGAGGAGGAAATAGATGAGTACTTTAAACCATAAATTCGTCACCTTGCATGTTGTTGGGGCTTTATATCATAAATAATATAAAGCTGACAGGAAAGAAAGCAAGTCTGTAAACGTTTCTTCAGTCTTGTTCGTTCTGATCGTTTTCCTGGGAACATTATCTATTGTCGGATACCTCCCGTGTTTCTACACAAATTTTACGATGCTTCTTATAACTTCAAGGCTTTCACATATCTTAGAACTCGGTGCGCATGCGC